ATCGGTTCAGATGTAGGTAGGGCGGAATTAAAAAAAATCACAAAATCAAAATCAAAGTAAAATAATAAAATAAAAGGGCATTAATAACAAAAGTAATAAAAAATAAAATTAAAATAAGTTTATAGCCAAAATAATTAAAGCCCGTACACTACATCAGATTTTAATCAGATTGGGTCGATTGATGAACCGGTAGCAACACTGGTAGTCAAGATTGCAATTTAATGGTATTATTAAAATAACCGAAGGTCGATTAACCAGTATTTAAATGGTATCAATTTACACAAATAATTGTGTACAATTCAAGTAATAGTTTGTTTTACAATGTTTAGGGTAGTAAATACACACTACGACGTTGTGGTGTCATAGGCGTATTGCGGATAACGTGATGTATTCGCAGTGGTCATGATTTCAAATCAATATGTCCCTGAGTCACGCGGCCCGGGACACCATTTGGAAGGACATACACAGCAATGATACCACGTCACATGGTGTAATCGTGATGACAACTCAGTACTACTCATCAAATGTACAACAAACAGGATGTCCCGGGACGTAACGATTTTGTTGTTGGTCTCTTACAGCATAAAGCGTGGGTCCAACTAACTCGGCACAGTGCGAATGTCTGAGCATGGAAACATACATACGATAACTGGGTTGCATATATAGTTGCGAACATTACTATTTAATATTTTATGTCCCATATGCTTATGTAAATATAAATGTAAGTTGCCATTATAATTTTATACACGTATATATATATATACAGCTATAGCCGCCAATTTGAATACAATGCTGAAAATAGAACCCAGGTTTTTAATTCATCCATAATCACTGAAGCCCACATATTCCCAAAAGAATAATAATGTATGGTAGCAATACACATATACTCAGTTTGCCCGATTGTGCATTGTGCTAATAGCGTTTACTTTTGGTATTTAGAACATTTAAAAACTGTATGATGTAAAAGCATAACATCGATGTATGTTGACTGTCAAACGTACGCCACTTTCTTTTCCACAACAAAGACAGTTTGCCATGCCTCGCATTTTTGCGCAGTGACTGATTTGGGTTCGGTTGGCTCATACACGACACAGATATAAACAAAAAATCATGTGCGAGTTCACTCTGATTATTTCGGACGTAGGCTTGTTTAAGAATATTAGTACATGATATCGTGGTATCGATTACGGTAATATATATGCCACGCATTGTAGTGCAGATTTCACGCATTGCACACGTCACTCACAAACCTGAAGAAAACGTCTGACTGTGTTTGATTCTTATGGCAGAGAATCTATCACTTTGTACTGTGGGTGGTGTCGCGAACATTAATATTATTGTTATTAATTTCGGAGTTATTATCGTTATATTAGAGGTTACAGTGATGACGCCGATATCAAAGTGTCAATGCATACATTATGTTAATTAGGGTCAATCTACGTTCACTGATGGTCGGCATTGGCCAATGAGTTTTTGTTTCACTTCTGCTCGAGTTCAGTTCAATTCCTGTTTTTACCACGTTCATGTAACACCCTTTTACCGCTGTATTAGTCAGTGGAGTCATTTTGGTCGACATTGGCCAATGATTTTTTGTTTCACTTCTGCTCGAGTTCAGTTCAATTCCTATTTTACCACGTTCATGTAACACCCTTTTACCACTGTATTAGTCAGTGGAGTCATTTTGGAAATGAATGGTATAAAGGTTACGTATTGAATCGTTATAAACAGACCTAACCCGCGTCTGGAATTCTGTGACGCTATTCACAATTTGGTGAATCAACACTACGTGAACTATTTGAACAATAAATGGATTTGGGATTGACTACGTACTGCGTTTTATGTTCTGAGCATATACGGACAGATGTACAATGGTGGGTGAGCTCGTAATTTGGTTATAAATGGAAATAAAACAAAAAGTGGGCAAATGGATGACGACTTTGAAAGGTGTAAGCGAAGTTATGGAAACGTAAAATTTGCGACAACAATATTTTATTATATACTTAGATTTTAATAGTTATGTTGGAGCCAGCACTCGGAAGTGTTGAATCTGAGGGGGGGGGGGTTAACGTCCAATTGCAACACAATATATATGCTGTTCAGCCCAATTGTGGACAAATTCGGCTAACCTCACAGGAATAGCCGCGGACATGTCCACGTATAATGTGTCATTAAAATATGAAATACAACAATATTCAGTCAAATTAGAATAATGTCAGCCTTTAAACATTTTTGAGAAATTCTTATGAGAGCGTTCAGTTAGTCCTATCAATGAAGCTACATCGAACTCATCTTGGGAAGAGGGGCCACGTCCCCATTTGCAAATAAATATGCTATGAAAGATCCAGAACACTTATTGCGCGGTGCGTGAAAAGTATTAGACTGGCAAAGTCGGGACTTCATTTTTGTTTTACAAAAAGAAATAATTAATTGTTCTTTTAGTCCTTTCGCGTGATCGCGAAAAGTAACCTGACTGATAAAGACATTTTGTTTGCAGTCACGCTAGTTTTTGCGATCACGTTAAAAAGGCTAAATTTGACTTTGCCAGTCCAGAAAAGTACACGCGTGCGTTGAACGTTCGAAATTTGCAGTCATTGCTCTCATAAATTGGCACAATGAATTGTGGGATGTTTACCATAATACTAACTTATGAATATTCATGATCTAACTGTATAGGCCAAAAAGCCAATGACCGACATAGTATTCCAGACAGCTCAATGGAATACTTCAACTCGGGCGTATTCCAACTTCCCTTTTAACATGTCATTTCACCTCATACGTTGTCGCTTTCATTTCACATGAATTCACCCACACACTGGCTTACAGGAACAAAGAACGATATTGTAAGTTAAAATGCGGGGGTTGTGTTTTTTGCCAAGAATGGCTGTGGATTGTCACAGCTGTATTTTCATTGAAAACAGATGCATTGTTAAAACTCTTTAGCATATTACGCCTAATGCCGAGATTTAGGGTGTGTGGGAGTTGCATACGTCATCACTGTGACAATGTCATGTTCATGACGGAGAGATACAGTCCAATAACGCCTGAGAAGAAGATGATGTAGTATTATATTGCAATATGTACATCGAGTCTCTCTCTTTTTAATTCTTGTTGCTCTCACCGGAACATAAGGTTAACACAAGATCCCTCCACTCAACACGC